GTTAGGGGTTCTAGACGTACCGCAAGATGTGTGTCTTCCAACTAAACAGAAAAAGTGACCGGGTGATTTTCCGAAGAAGGAGCAAACAAAGAACGCGTGATTAAATCAAACTCTGCACATCAAGCCAATCATTAGCCTGAAGCAAGTACAGAAAATATGCAAATTACCAACTGGTATTATTATTCAAGCAGCATATTAAATACTTATGCTTTTATAACAGAGAGTATTGTTGTTTATACGGAGAAAGGGGTTGAGGTATGTACTTTTAACGCAGAACCGATTGAACATTTAAATATAAAAACCTCTGATTTCTGCAAGGTTACGATCATTACAAACTTTTAGGGTTCTAGTTCTAGTTGGTTAGGGTCACAATGACACTTTGTCTAAATGTGTAACCTGCTGATACAAAGCCTCTTACCTTTCCATGCATGATCTGCCTGACATCCGAAGATTAATCAAACAAATATATGGTAGAGACATTAATAATTGATTGTAATAGTCAAACACTTGGAAAATGATCGGTTTGAAGGTGATATTATATGATGACTTATTTAGCTTAAAATTTCGTTTCATGATACTAATTTATCTATTACAAAGCAAGCTTAACTACTCTATCGGTGCTTCGTATGTTTCTAAGTCTCACAGTATGGACCAAATGTAACTCCAGTTTACCTGGCCTTCGATTTGTCATTACTGTTTTATCGCCTAATCTAAGCGTCCGGCGTTGTTGGAAGTAAGTGGAGTAATTTTTGTATGCGACAGTTAGATTTCACGCATATTCTTTCATTCTGCTAAGGCATCGAATGGAAGGATGCAAAAATAAATCCTACATTTTCGTCAATGCTTTTTTGCCTTTAAACAAATAATTCAGCATGCCTCCCTTCATAAACATTCTACTTCAAGTTATGGGTATTATAAAGCAATCACTTTAAACGAAAAGGCATTTTCTCAACGCCGGCGTTTTATTCATGTGTTATTTAATTGGTGGAAATGCGGAACAATTGTTTTTAAAAGTATTTTTAATCAGAAATACACTTAATCACCTTTATTATTTAGTCCAACCCAGTCCCTAACTGGATCCGATCAGCTCGCAGTCAACTCACGCGACAACTAATCATCATAGATAGCCAACGCTATCTCCATCTCTGATTACCAAAGTTTGCAAACTAAGCTAGAACAGCCCGGAATGCTAATTAGAAACTGATTCCCCACATGCAAAATTGGGATTAGAGAAAAAGCGTTCTGTAGGCTGGGAAAAACTGAATTGAACGAAAATATAAAAGATAAACAAGATTGTCAAAATGATGCAAATTTGCCTGCCAATCGAAACGTGACAGTCTTGAAGTTTGGCGTTAAATAAGCTTAATGTTTCTCGTGCCCTGGAATTAAGATCAAACGATGTATTCGATTGGTCCATAGTGTGTTTTCTTGCATCTACGGTGTTCGTGATTAAATATAAACTTATGAATAAAAGATAAAAGCACGAAGCGCCTTGTTTTATCCTTTTGCGTCCTCTTATTACCTCGTTTTATTGAATAGCCAAGATGGTTTGTGTTTTCTCCTTCTCGGACTAGAAATTTGCGCGTCGCTCATTTCTATTCACAGTTGCCAATCCGTTTCTCGATTAAGCATAATGCTTTTTCGTTTTGGAAGGTCTCGACCCGTCCACTCTAAGCATAGTCTTATTCGTGCCTTCCAAGACTCCGTTTCTTATTTGAAAATTTTCGGCCTTTAGCAAAACTTTTGCCGTACCCATCCACTAACTTGAGACTACGTATAAAAGCTCAGAGTTAAGATTAACAGACAGAAAATTGTAATTTTTGTGCCATGCTGCTCTGTAAACCGACTTAACGTCCTAGGTTGGCGCATATTTCCTTTGAGTGACGTCTTCG